CCATAATCAAATCCTAATCCACTTTTTGTCAATCTTCGATTTCTCCAAGATCTGGATACTCTGGCGGATTTAGCGACCAAGAACCGAGACGTGGTTCTGAAACTGTATGAAGCCTTGAAATCTCGAGACGTTGAATCTGTGCACCAGATCCTAAACCCAGATCTGGAGTATTGGTTCCATGGTCCTCCTCCGCACCAGTTTTTGATGCGCATACTCACCGGAGTTTCTCCGACGTTCGAATTCGTACCTCTCTCCGTTGTCTCCTTCGGATCCACCGTAATCGCCGAGGGCTGCGACGCCGCGAGCTCCATCTCTTGGATCCACGCCTGGACCGTTTCGCATGGGATAATTACTCAGGTGAGGGAGTACTCGAACACTTCTCTCACCGTCACGAGGATCGGTAACGTCTTCGCTGGACGAACGGCTGAGATTAAGCCGTCGCATTGCCTTTCCGTTTGGGAAAGCCAGTTCTCGGGTCGGGCTGGAAAATCCGTTCCGGGTTTGGTTTTAGCGATTTGAGGATTTGGTGCGTTTGGGGTTAAAGTAGCAGCCGCGTTAGGGAATATCTAAATAAAGGCTGCTTACGTGTCAGTGTTTGGTTGGTTTGCTGTTTAATGGGTTGAGGAAGGATTCGTGCGGTTGAAACGCGGTGTGAGCTGATAAACGCTAAGGCCGCGTTTGGCTTGTCGCTAGTTCTTTCTTCTCTGTTTGATTATTTTATTTTGTTTTTTAATAATTTGCTTTTAAATCGTGCTTTTGTGTGTTTAGTGGGAACGAGAATGGGGAAACCCAAACTGACTTGTCCCGTTGCGTCTGATGTAACGTTTGGTTATGTTATAATTGAAATAAAAAAGTGCTTTTGGGATCTTATGGTTATACTACTATTCATTATTCTATTATCTTCCGCGAAGAAGTTCTTCGTTTTGTGTATGTTTGTTTATTTGCTTTACTTTTATTGAGTTTATTAACATACAAACTATTTTAAAACTTAAGTGTTCAAAAAGATAGTTTCCCCAACAAAATATAAAAGAAAATATTTTTTGTGTTGATCACTTTTACTTGGATTAGTTAGAGAATTGTGAATCAAAAACAAATTGTCTGCTTTGGTTTTTGTAGTTTATGAGTGGCATCATAATTTGTATTTCTTTGGTGAAAAATAAAAATCAAATTGTTATTTAAATATTACATTTATATTTATAAAGTAATCGTGGAC